TTTTTGACATAGGTTATAAGAAAGCTCAAATGTAGAGTCCCCTTAATTTCATGCACCAAAATTGAAGTTCACCATAATTATCCAGTTGTCCAAAGAGGATATTTTACAAACTTGGGTCTTTATAAACTGAAACCCTATGTATGAAAACATATTTTGAATTAATTTTGATTTAGAAAAGACTATTCTTGGTCAAAGGATAGGTTTGTTTGGATCCCCCCCCCCCCTCCGGTAACTTCTTTAAACTTTTAGCCAATCTGGGGATCTAAACCTTAGCACCTGTCTTTTCTATTTGTTGCACCACCAGTTTAACTGTTCTCTGCCAGTTTCACTGGCCTATAACAACAATCTTCCTTTTCAGTAGTCTCCTTATGTTTTCTTCATTATTCATTGTATACAATTTAAGCATTTATCAGGTAACCAAACGAACCGAGTCCTGTTTCTCCCCCTTCCTAGCCCAAACTGTAGTTACATTACACCTCCAAGTTGATAAGATTAACAATACCTTTCATTACATTGTCGCAACTCAATACAGGTATATAGTTAACATACTGAATTGACGATACCAGCAATTTGACGGTTTGTAAATTTGGGGGTCGGTTTCGCAAAAAAAAAAAAAAAAACAATTAATCAAATGTTAGGCCTTTTCTTTTACACTGAAAATTTAGTTCTCTTCAATTTAGGAAAAATCTGCAATGTAAAAAAATCCTCTTCAGGCCAAGTTAATCCATGGCAGTTCACTTCTATAATGCAATTATTAAGTATTGGGTCAGAAACAAATTTGATTCCTTGTTAAAAAAAAACAGGATGACACTAGTAGTTGTCAAAACTGATTTTTTTGGCAAATGAACAGTTAAATAGTTGACCCAATATCATGGATCAATTGCCTCAGAAAAAAATATTTCATAAACATCTCATTATATTTTCTAAAAACCTGTCTGTCCCTGAAATATCTTCGTTTCAACTGGCCCATGAGGCTATAATACCAAGAGAGTTTTTGTCTTGTCGGCCGATTTTTAAGTTGGAGTCTTTTTTTTTTGTGTATGTGAATGAGATCCTGGGGGTAGATTCAAATAACAGCCAAAATTTGGATCAAGTTGCAGCCCCAAAATTGGATATTCCTCAATTCAAGCTAAATTTCACTGCAGTTCACATAAAAGTATTGATCTGCAACAGCAACCTTGCCGCCAAACGGTCCTTTTATTTCACTTAAGTGGACTTCTGCCATTTTATCTTTTGGTGCACTGGACACAAATTTTTGACCAAAGGTTAATGTTAGTTGACTAGGTGTTATGTAACAGGAATAAAATGGGCTTGGTGTTATGTAACAGGAAGAAAATATGTAGAGCTGAAAAAAATGAACCAAATGCCCTCTCAGAGCAAAAATTACATAAGATCAGATTTAATGTGTACAAAGCTACTTTATGGGTCACAAAATAATTTGTCACAACAGATTTTGGCTTAAAGTCAGAGCAGAGCATTATTATTATCATGAGGCTAGTTTTCTGTAAAACCCTATCAACTTTCACACCTGAAAAGAGAAATGAAATTTTATTCATATCAGAATTTCAGGCCACAGGGCTGTAATGCAAGTACCCCAATTTTGTAATATAGCAAATAAAGCATGCTAAATCTTTCATGCTTGAGCTACTCAACAGATTTGAGCTAGTCTGGTCAATTTGACTGTAACTTGAGTGACTGAGTAAATATTTTTTTTCTGACAGCATTAAATAATGGACATTCAAAAATCTATGAAACTCCACCCATCATCTGTGCATATAATGCTTGGGGACAGAGAATTTTGCTTTTCTGCTATGCATAACAAATAAATAAATAACTAACTAACTAACTAACTAACTAACTAACTAAATAAATAAATAAATATATGACGAGAAAAAAAATAAAATTCTATTTCATTTTTTTTTTTTTTTTTTGAACCATACCCAGTGTTAAAAATTGTCATCCTTGACCAAGGGTTTTCCCAGCGAATCGTCCAGCTGTTATTTGCATCACCGGACGGCCTATATTTTCAAAGACGGCTGGACGGCTTATGGATTTTGGGAAATATGATGGCTTTAGATATACTTGGACTCCCCGAAATTCTGTAGGGAATTACAATTGGTAAATTTTGATGGCCTGTGCCCCCAATCCTAGGGAAAAGCGAGGTGATTTAGCTAGGTGACTATGAAAAGCCCTGCCCCTGACAGCTACTAATTACAAGAGTAACATGTTTGAAGATGAAATATACGATCATGGAAAGGCATGTTCACCTTTGACATTATTCATTATCTTTATTATTATTATTATCTTGGTAAATATACATGAAATATTATTATTTAGCCTCATTTTATATTTTATTAAGCAATGGACAAAATGTCCTACCCAGATGTATCCTTCCCAGATGCCTACTTGATTTTAATATATATGCAAAATTTTCAAATTATAATTTTTTTAAACACTTTACATATATTTAGAGAGTGAAATAATCAAATATTCATATTTTGATTTTTTAAATATCATCTCCACAGAAAGAGCAGAGTTTTGGTGTTAAAGTTAAAAGTAAAAATTCCATGTCCATTTCATGTCCTTCCTAGACATCACTAACAATTACTATTTTTCCTTAACTGTTATCTTTTTAATCTTAATTTTTTGCCTAAATATAACTCATATATAGAGGAATAAACATATAAAAAATGGGTCTTCAACTTTTTTACTTTTTAAAAAAATTTTCATTTGAGGTGTCAAATGTCCTTCCAAACAGCAAAAAAAAAAAAAAAAAAAAAAAAAACACGGAATGGCCTGCCACTGAGTTGACTCTTAGTCAAAAATGAGGCTTATAATGTAATGGCCTGTACATAAATGCATAGAGTAGTGTCAGTGTAAGATATTGATTTTTTTTCTAACGCACTTAATCATCCTCTCGTTCCAGAACACGTGAACTGTTTTCACCCCTGTTACCAAACAGGTGACACAATTTTTAACTATGAGGTCAGGCCAGAATGCCCTTTATGTAACCAAGCCATGCTAACCCAAGTGTTATTAAGTTACCATCGTGTCAGGATCAACTCTAAGGATGCTATCTAAAAATGGTTTCATAATGAGATACGTACCTCGATTGCAAATGGTCATATATTTTTTAATATTTAGAAGCAGGTGAATGTGATCTTAGTGTACTTCAAAATTTCAATCACTTCCAGATGAGAGTTGTTTATAGTTACCTGATATGCTTTTTCAATTGTTAGGGAGCAATTCTTCCAAAGTTTCAATTATTTCGAGGCATATCAATCGCCCTGTCATTCCTAACTGAGATCTATATATCAGTGCCATTCTCACTATAGTGGAAACCCTATTGTTAACTCAGGAACTGAAGGAGATTATGTTGTCAACGGCGCTGGTTTGTCTGTTTGTTAATCGACAAGAGGTCTCAAAAAGTTCACTTTTTGTTATTCAGAGGAGATTACCATTTCAACTGAATCTAGACGTCTGTATTTTTTTTTTTTAAATAATTTTTTTTTTGCTTTTTCCTTTAACAGTCTGTGCCATATGCTTTTCAGCTTACAGGCCATTCAGACCACCAGTTTCCTAAAATCTACTGGTTTAAATTAAGAATCACTGGTCCAAATAATATTTTAAATCAGACCAGACATTTATCCATGGGTATTACAAATTAATACGAGTAATAACACGACACTGATTTTGTTAAATGTTTCTGGCACACTGTAAGCCAAGGAGACACACTTATTATATTTATGGAAAACTGTGATTTATTTCAAAAGGTTAGTCTTTTAATGAAAGAAATATACCATTCTCTCCATGTCAGACCACTAACAGCCTCGTAGCCAGGGGGGGTTCGGGGGGTTCGAAAGAACCACCCCTTTTTGCTGGGAAAAGGTCCCCTGTGGGTAAAATTTTATCTAGGTACATGTAGGTTTCATGGTAAAATATCCTCTTGAATTTTTTGGCTACAAGCATGACTAAATTCTCACATACTCAAAAATCAACAGGTCTAAACAAAATTCTACTCGCCACAGGCTACGGAGCAGTGGCTATAACATTGCAGACTACTTGAAGTAAATATACCTTTTTCCATTGATGGGATCTATGTAGTATATGGGAATCATTCCAACTGTAACTATTGGTCTGCGTAAATTGATCCAATTCCACGGGGACTATGGCTGAATGCAATCAGTTTTATCAGATCAACAGTCCTCCACAAAGCTGTATGTGAGGCAGTTGATTTTAGGGTGGATTGGAATGGTTTCAAAAACACTTATTTTCATACATTTATAGTGACACAGCTTCATATAAGTTGTGATAAGCTTTGATATGGAAACATGGAATGTGGAGTATAGTACCAAAAATGCAAATGAGCATCATTTTTTTTATTATTATTATTAAAATGAGCATCATGATTGGTGTGGCCATCACTGGTCAGTTTGAAAGAAGTTTGAAACTAAACATGCACGTCAGATATTAAGTTTAGCTGGGGTAGCGCTAGCAATTTTTTTCACTTAGCCAAATCACCGTATTTTTGTCAATTTGTTATCAAAATGGTTATAATTTGGCTAAAACATGTCAAATCAAGCCCTTTTTCTTTAGCCAATTTAAGTCAGTTTTAGCATTTGGCTAAATTGGGGAGTGTAAGCGCTACCCCAACATTTATAATGACAAATCTTCATATAAGTTGTGATTAGGCTTTGCAGGCTTTTAGATCACACGCTTTGACATGGAAACATGAAATGTGGAGTACAGTACTAAAAATGCAAATGAGCATCTTGATTGGTGTGGCCATCACTGGTCAGTTTGAAACTAAACAAGCATGTCAGACATTAAGTTTAGGGCATAAGATCTACACAAATGTTTAAATATTTACTACATATATAATACAGTAAAAGTCAGGACAAAAGGACGATTTACATTGCATGTCAAATCACAAATAACAGCAGGTGAGAGTTCGTACTGACACAGGTAAACAAAATAAAATTTTAATTATGTTCACTCACCTAACATCCGGTAGAATTCAATCAGCTATCATAAATTGCTTCTTAGATTGACAAAAGGGTCCTAAAACAAATAAAACAGAAAGTGATCTTTTTTTTTTAAAACAAAAGGGTGCTGAAGTTCAATTAAAATAGAACGTGATGAACGTGCATTTGTAGAAAATACAACAGACCCTGGGTTTATTCATTTCCTCGTTTCATTTCCATTTTTATCGACATGAAATGCACAGATTACGCGGGACTTTTACTGCATCGTAACACAATAGGCAATGACGCAAACATGACTAACAGTAAGACTCGAGCGAAACAATCACTTATACAACCTCTTAACAGCTTTACAACAATGGGAATCGTACATTACATAGAATATTGATATAGACGCATAATTATTACAAAGAAAAATAAGATTATACCTCATTCCCGACTATTTCCAGTAAAAAGTCTTTGATTAAGCTACATGCTTCAGTTTACACATTGGCTTTTATTAAGTTGGTCAAGGTCGTTCTTCTTCTGCTGTAAACATATTATCATTTTATCATTTATTTAAATTTTATCAATTATGTATGACTCATGATGCAATCCAGTAAGACGAATAAAGTAGTAGGAATCGCTGTAAAATTATACTTGGTCTTTAAATTTTTTATCCACATCTCGTCAAATCTCGTATCCAAGTGAAGATACCATCCGCTCCAGATTCCAATGTAGAGAAGCCAACCGGTTGTAAACATTTCAAAATGCGAGCTGTTCCAACTTGGGTGGACAAGGTTCATGACAGGGATAAAGTAGAACAATGGTGATTACAAATTCAAGAGTGATCTCGTGCTTTAAAACTGCACGTTAACTTTTTTTCTGAACGAATGCTTGTCACTGTTGACAGTGTCGTTCAACTTACTATACTCCTCACTTTTACTAGTTTTAGTCGGGGTTTTGGTTTGCTCCAGTTTCCGTTCTCTGCTGTCTAGCAAACTACAAAGATGCTAGACATATTTGCTACCATGGTACCTTTGTCGAGAATTTTAACTTTATAAACACCTCGGAGAGAAGTATAATTTTGCAAATGAACTTTTTAAAGAAGTTCATTCATCAGTACTTGTACCTAGCTCGAAGTTTCCTGCATTTGCACAGATTTTTACAGTCCAAGGGTTGGTTGACAATGAAACTATTGTACCAGGTAGTTCATATTAACTCTGGGGACTCTTGCTGAGTGCAATCACATATATAGATTAACACGCCTCTTTCTGGCATTGAGTAGAAGACAACAAAGTGAGTCTCAGTAAATGCCAAATTGACACAAAGTAACACCCTAATGTTGCTTTGAACATCAAAATAACTTGCCATTTGGATTCCGCACCCCAAATCATATTAACTCTTGAAATCAATAGATGTTTATCTGCAAAGGAGAAACATTTTTGCAGCCTCTAATTTAATATGTAAATAAAGAAAAGAAAGCTGCAAAAATATTTCTATACAGATCAGCAGACAAATATTGTGTTGAGCTCAAGACAATTGTAATTTGGAGTGCAAAATCCAGAAAGTGAGTTATTTTTTTATGATAAAAGTAATATTAAGGTGCCATTTCGGTGTTTACTGAGACCTCAGAAAAGCTGGTGATTATAAGACTATGTTGGAAAGAAAAGGAGGAAAGGTCTAACAATCATGTAGGCTAAGCAACTTCCACTGTACAGGATCCTGCACTTAAGCTTATTTCCTGGCAGGAATCAATGTTGTTTCGTTATTTACCTATATACAATTTGTTCCAATTTGTTTTCCTGTTTGAAAATAACCCTAAATATTTTTTTACAGCAAAGCCTCCTATGTTTCCATGAAAACCACGAAAACATCTTTAACATAATTTTTTTTTTAACTGAAAGATCAAACTCAGTCAAGCATTTTGAGGCTATTATTATTATTAACTGAATAATATAATAACATATGTTATAATAAAACTATTTTCAGTATATGGGACCTTTGCTTCAAACCTGATGGGAGTCAGATCATCGTAGCAGCTGGCAATCGTGTCCTTGTGTACGACACCAACGATGGCACCCTCATTCAACCCCTGAAAGGCCACAAAGACACAGTCTACTGTGTGGCTTATGCCAAGGATGGGAAGAGATTTGCATCGGGCTCAGCAGACAAGAGCGTCATCATCTGGACTAACAAGTTAGAAGGGATTCTGAAATACCAGTGAGTGTTAGGAAGATGAAGGTTGTTGTTGTGACCAGCTCTTACTGAGTTTGAAGTATTGAATGGTTTGTTTGTTACAACATGTTAATGTTAAAATGCCTCTAGTTTTTCTCATTTTACTTCTTTTATATCAGAAACAATTTTTTTAATTGAATGTTATTAATAATGGTATATTTTCTGCAGATATAGTGAGATATAAATATATAATTCAGTGTATTATATGGCAATGGGATTTGTTTCCAGCCCTGTTGTACTGTGTACAAATCATGGTGTGGTTGCGTCGTGACAGTAGCTTGTGGCTTTGTGTTCATTGGGCAGCTGGGGACTTGCACATATTTCAGGTTATAACCCCTAGTATCGTCTTCCAACAATAATTTTGTGCCAATGCATGACGTCAGGTTGGAACAGTTTTCAGGACTTTGGCTGTCTTATGCAAGGGTTCATATCCTCACGTGCTTTTTTCGTGATTATATCATGTAGTACATGGGGACAAGTGTTATCAAGGCCTAACTGATTATCCTGGGTCTGGGCAGCATGTACTGCAATAGCTGCCCCCATGCTGTATGCTAGTAGAATTTTATCAGGGCCAGTAAGATCTTACTGGTCACCATTTCTGCTTAAGGCCACTGCATTTTTTTGTTTCTGCTGAAAGCTTTAAAGTTTTTGGCTCTGATTTCCAGGGGAGGCATGTAGGGCCCCCAGATTTGCTTTAGTCTGTTGCCCATAAAGGACTTTCTCTTGGATATATAAGGTGCAAAAAGGTTATAGATGGGGAAAAGCACCATGCTTATGTAATGGGTCACTTTTGAAATTTAATATGGAAGAACATTTTCTTGCATAACATGCATTCTGTAATGGCAGCATTGTTGTTTATATTTCTTTATAATTTATGAATGATGTATGGTGACCGTGTGTCAACAATGTTTTTGTAGAGGGAGCTGTAATTATAATTACTCATCTCAACTGAACTTTTATCTAAACAGACTTTTCTTCTTTTGTGATTTTTAGTTTTGATGGTTGTTCAAACGAAAAACAATACCTTTGTATACTCCCAGCTCAGAAATTCAACGCCAAAGCCCTTTTCATTATTCTTTCTTTCACCATCAATGGGTGAAAATTTTCAGGATTGTGTCTGATTTCAGGATTTTCAGTCTTCATTTTTGATCTTTTTTTTTTTTTTTCGTGATGTAAATGCCATGATAATTTTTTTCTTGTGGTGTAAATGCAATGAGAAATTACAATAAACATTTTCAGGATTTTCAGTTTTTACAACTTTCACCCATGCACCATTAGCTCACAGTTGGAATTTGTGTCCATTACTTTAAGCCTGCATCAAGTGCTTTGGCATTTTTTAAAGATAAATATTAATGAAAATGGGCATGCAGCACCAATGGCTGGACAGAGGAGACCTTTGACATGCCCCAAGCCCTCGCGAATGACCATCAGATGTGTGGTCAGATGGATCACTGTCTGACGCAGCTGCGCCCCTGTGACCCTGGAGGATCGTGGGATAGTTTAGATTAGATTAAATTATATTGAAGAATATTCATTTAAATTAGATTCATACTTTTTATGTTGTCGAAGGTTTCATCTTAAATTTGATTATAATATAGTATTTCAACTTTCTCATGCAAGACGAGAGAAAGTAGAGTTTGCCAATAGCTTCATTTGTGACCAACACCTGTACAAATTTAGTCAAAACCTTCAACAAGATTTGCAAAAGATTAGTCATCTAATTTTCAAAAATATTTTTCAATATAACTATTTACGGAGTCAATGAAACATTTTCCTCTTTGGGATACATAAACTTTATAAAATTTCATTTATTTTCCTCCAGGCACAATGATGCTATCCAGTGTTTGGCCTACAATCCCCTGACACACCAGTTAGCCAGCTGCGCACAAACAGACTTTGGTGAGAATCTCTTTATACTTCAACAAAAGGGAGCTTTTCTATGTCCTTAGGGAAAATAACTCTTCGTATGAGATCTATATTTTACAATAAAAACATTGTGAATAACTCATAGAAATATAATATATTCTGTTTTACCACAAAAACGGCAGTTATAGCTAATATTCTGATATCTGAGCTTGTCTTTAGACCACGTGACCTCCATTGATGGCTATACTCTGTTAAAATCTCTTAAGAGATTTTAACAAAAAACCAAACTTTTTAGAAAAAAAACAGGGACTAATTTTGAATGTAAAAATGGATTCATTAACCATTGGTTAGTATGGGAAAATTGTTGTTTACTCCAGGAAAATTCATTTTTTGGCTTAAACGAAGAGTTATTATCCCTTTAACTTGTTGGTTAAAATCAGAATTTCTGTGTCAGTTTCTAATCTGAATTTTTCATAAACTGCACTTGTAGTTGATTGAATTAATATTTTCCTTGTAAAACCCAAACTTTCTTGAATCTTTAAAAAAATTTATGGACTTTTCTATTTCAGGTTGTCTCATGAATGTTTATGAATCAGAAACTACACTTCTGTTTGGATGAAATTTAGTTAAAATTAGTTATAAATAATTTTACCGTTTATCATAGTGTAATGATTTCTAGTTCAAATTCTGGGGCTGATTATACATAACTCTTTTTCTCTTGGTAGAAATAAAGAATTCCGTGCTATTCTTTCACTTGGTAGAAATAAAGAATTCCATGCTATTCTTTCACTTGGTAGAAATAAAGAATTCTGTTCCATTCTTTCACTTGGTAGAAATAAAGAATTCTGTTCCATTCTTTCACTTGGTAGAAATAAAGAATTCTGTGCTATTCTTTCACTTGGTATTCCCCAGGGCTTTGGTCACCGGAGCAGAAGTCTGTGTCCAAGCACAAGGTGGGCAGTCGGATCACCTGCTGTGGCTGGACCAATGATGGACAGTACTTTGCCATTGGGATGTACAATGGAGTTATAAGTATTAGAAATAAGGTGAGAGAAGAAGAGAGAGAGAGAGAGAGAGAGAGAGAGAGAGAGAGAGAGAGGGGTTGGGGGGGCCCAAATTGAAAAGCTTGCAAGATTTAAGATGACAGTCTTTCAGTGTCCGCATAAATTTTCAACCATGAAAAAATTAAATGTTACTGTCATTGTAAGTGTTTCACATTTCATATGGAAGAAGAAAAAAATTATTGAACAATTGGTTCAGAGAAATAGAAAAAAGCAATTTTTTAAATATCTTCAGACAGTTATTATATATTATATTTCAGACTGGAGAAGACAAGGTAAAGATAGAGCGTCCAGGTGCCGCCATGTCCCCTGTTTGGTCTCTGGAGTGGAACCCTTCCAAGTAAGTCATAAAAAAATACATTAATTAGAATCATCTGTAGAGGTCATGACTCGAGGCCTTTTTCACAGAGAGCTGTAGTTTTATGTATTGCACCAGTATTGCCTTGTTTTGGGCCGTCTCAGATAATTTTCATATATATATGCAGTATATGATAGTCTTGGCTTATGCAAGCAGTAGCATTGCTTTAGTATCTAAAGTAACTGAAAAATTGGAGCTGAAGTTAAATTTTAATCACAACAGTGATTGATTTTAGTTTAAAAATGACTTAAATTATTTTTTTTTGTATTTAATGAATGTCATTTTACCATAAATGTGGCAAATATCTGCTAGAACAAGTCCTTACTCTTGTAATTAACAAGATGGAAACTTGATGAAAATGCATCATTTGAACAGGGTTGGAAATGTTGTGATCCTTAGAGAGCATTAGTGCATTTGAAACAGAAACAGAATCAAAGGTAATATAAAAATGTTACTTTGATTGAAGACAATCCAAATGCCATGGACACAAAAGGGAAAGCCAGCCATTTCCAGTGATAATGTCTCGTGTAATTTGGTTTGAACGATCACTTATGATCATTAATGAGGGAGATTTATGAAATATTAGGTCAGGAAAAGGTCATTTTTTCCAGACAGACGAGAGATTACAGTTAGGATTGATATTTATCTTCAAATTAGGTTATTTATTGACTGGCGGGGCTTGTGACAGGTCAGCTCAGACATCTGGGCTTGTCCACTTCTATGTAATTGTCACCTGTTAGCCTGGGCTCATTCAGATATTATTATAAGTCACCATTTTTCATGCCACTCACATTGCTTATGCACCGTGTAAGTGAAAACTTCCCCACCATGTTCTGTCAGCAAAAGAAAAAAGATGTCTGCCCAATATTTTTTCAACTGTCTCTAGACTGATATCATAAATTTGAGAACATTTGTCTCTCAGCTGGATGTGTAATAATTTTAACTACAAAAAAAAAAGGTTAAGGGATTTTTTCTAGGTATGTTTGTGATATTATTCTTGAAAACTGTTAATAGACTGCCATTATCCAGCAACTAATAAAAGTAAAATTAAAGTTCAAAAGTTTTGATAAAACAAAACAAATTGATTGTATTATGTTAGTCTACTGCATTGACGTCTTCACATTTGATGCCGCTGGACTTCAGTTGTTTTGATTTACACGATTCGGAAGCAGTTTTATGAACACAATGCTTGCTTTGTTACCACACATCTTTATTCTTTTTTACTAGTGACATTTATCAGAGGTAATGCTTTTTTTTTTTTTTTGCATGACTTTTGTCTTAATTTCTAAAATCCTGAACAGCTTTTAACATACAACCCATTGTGTAAAGTTCTGATTGTAGTGTATTTATATTTTAAGTATTTCTTCTTATTTTGATTTTGATGATTCAGAAATAGCGTGAAGTCTATTTGAAGAAACTTTGATTCTTTGGTTAATTGGTGAGGGTACTCTACTTCTTGCTGAGAAGTGAAATAAAATGACAGTGTTTCTTTTAATGTATTTATTGACTGATTTATTAGTTCATTTGACTATTTTTATGTTATTATTGGTTAATATATTTCTGTTAGATGACTGACTTGATATTGTTATAATCATATATGATATTATCATGACCACTGGCAGATTCAAGAAGGTAAAAGATATGCGATTCCCTTTCCCAAAGATTTTGGAAAATGTGAAAATTTTCCCAAAACAAGGCATCCCCCCCCCCCACACACACACACACACACACGCACAGTGCCCTCCCTAACAAAATTCTGAATCTGTCAGTGGGCATGAAATGTTGTGCATTTTATTTATTTATTATAGAAAATAATCCAGGCAAAGTGCATGATTTTACAAATTTTGAACCATAGTCCATAGGATAAGAAAAATTTTAAAAAAGTATTTGCTAATTACATAACATTTCAACAGAATAAAATGTCATTTAAAATAATTGCACAAAGGCAGAAAAGTACCTATGTTAAAAACAATGAAAAAAAAGGTTTACGTCTTTTATTTGTATGACTGATGGTTTTGTTTTCAGAGATGAGGCATTTGACATCCTGACCGTAGCAGATTGGGGCGGTCAACTTTCATTCTATCAACTGTCTGGAAAACAGGTGAGGTGATATTTGGATATATGTGATTACATGGTTAACCTAATACCATCTTGCAGATGAGGTTAAAATGATCTAGTGGGCTAATTGTGAATTACAACAAATTTCAAGGAAGTCCTGGGTCTTAAAGTTAAAATGATGCAATGCTATGTATTTGATCTGTTTGTATATTAGTACATTGCATGTTGTTGTATATACTGAGTTGTTAGAGGAGTTGAGAAGACAATATTTGGTAACTATATCTAGCACTACAAGAGGGAACACCTCCATCAAAGAAAAAGACAATACAAATTCTTTAAAAAATATAAGGAAACCTAGTTTCAGTGGTAATTGGAAAAAATCTTTTCTTCCTGAATATCTATCCCTAAATTTGAATCAGTATTTGAAACTTGACACCTCATACTTCAGAGTTCTGTAATGAAACTTGCTTGTGGGTTCTTAAATGAAAGATGATTTTAGAAGTATTTTTTTCATAGTAAATTAACTGTGGTTTCCTTTGATATCAGATTGGTAAGGATCGCCACCTGGAGTACGATCCCTGCTGCGTCAGCTGGTTCTCTAAAGGGGAGTATGTGGTGATTGGGGGCTCCAACAAACAGGTGTCCCTTCACACTAAGGAAGGGGTCAAACTGGGCACCATTGGAGAGCAGAATTCCTGGGTCTGGTGTTGTAGGGTGCGGCCTGACTCCAATTATGTGGTAAGGAGAAATTTAACATTCAGTTGTAATTGAATTTATGCACAAAGTTGTTATTGAATTTATGCACTTATCCTATAGCTATATATACTTATACAGTCATGTTTTATGTAAGATCTGACTCATTGGCAGTTTAGGTTCAATCCCACTGCAGTCACCAGTGTGTGACTACACTGATTACACTTGTGATTACATTGTAATGCATGCATTTTTATTATGTGGCAAGCACAGGTTTTCACAAACGGATGTAGATGCACAGGTTCCCACCCGCTCTCCGTGAAACAACCTCATTTTGAAACAGATTAGAAATAATTGCTGGTGATCTGTTTCAGGCTATAGGGTGTCAGGATGGTACGATAGCGTACTACCAGCTAATCTTCAGCACCGTCCATGGACTGTACAAAGACAGGTATGCCTACAGGGACAACATGACTGATGTCATCATACAGCATCTTATCACAGACCAGAAAGGTAGGTGGAAGTAACACTGCCGGATTCACTCTTGTATTGGAGCCTCTTGTTATGATTTATAGGTGAAATATAAGAAAGTATTTGAGCACATATTTGGCAAGTTTAAACGGTGTGTGTGTGTGTGTGTGTGTGTGTGTGTGTGTGTGTGTGTGTGTGTGTGTGTGTGTGTGTGTGTGTGTGTGTGTGTGTGTGTGTTTTGAAACGACAGGAGGTTATGCCTTTTACAAACCTAGGTAAAGTGCGCTGTCAATTTAAAAATCTAGTTGAAGTGAGCTGTCAACTTACACACTTATCTAAAGTGACCTGTCCAATTTTCTTTTATATTCAAAGATCCCAGAACACTAGATCCAGATTCCAAAAGTAAATCTTCATTATATAAGTCAATATTACATTGAAATGTGTTGCAGTTTTAAGTTTTTTTTTTTTTTTTTTACTGTTGAACAATTATATGATTTCTAAAAATGCTTGAAAAATATGCTAAATTAATCCAGTTTTACCATAATGAAAAGCTATTAATTAATTAGTTATTTATTCCTATTTTTTTGTTCTTATTATTAAGACATTTTTTTTGTTAACTCTTCATAATACCAATGTAATATGTTTTGAGATTGGATAACATATATTTGAAAGATGTTCTTTTGTTATTAAACTTAAAAGTTTTACATTTTGTATTAAATGTTTGTGTCATATTTTGTTGGAATTAGTATTTTCACCAAACTGTCTGTTCTTGAGACATAATGAGTTTTCTGCACTGCCACATAAAACTAGATTAAAAGAAAAGATTTAAATGTACATACTTTAAAGCACTATTTTAGATATTATATAATTTGTTACTGGATCATTATTTTGTAGTTCACTTACTTTTTTCACATTATTTTACTGTTTTCTGTTGCAGTTCGCATCAAGTGTAGAGATTTAGTGAAGAAGATCGCCATCTACAGACATAGACTTGCAGTAAGTGGACTCCGGGGGGCTCCATATCAATGCATGTGTCACTTAGGTTGAATAATAGTAATACATACACTAAAAATAATGATAATTTGCTTACAAATACCAGGCATTTGATGAATAACGATACGTTCAGCGGTGGCAGCATCCTGACAAAATATCATGTGATGTTTCTTTCTTTAAGGTGCAACTCCCAGACAAGATAGTGGTCTATGAGCTGTACTCGGATGATTCTGCTGACATGCACTACAGGATAAAGGAGAAAATCAACAAGAAGTTTGACTGCAACCTCCTGGTGGTCTGCTCTCAGCACATCATTCTGTGTCAGGTAAGGAGGGAAGCACCCTGAGTTTCAGAGGTTACTGGAAATGGGAGAAGGTAGTTGTTGAGAATGCCAATGGAGGCAAGTTTCCCATAAGCCACTGAAATTCAGGGTGTTTGGAGGTATCTGTTGTTAGATATATATTCATTGGATATACACCATGAATATTCATTCTTGCTTAGTGAAATTTAGCCAAATGTTAAACGTGCTCCAATTTGGCTAAGGAAAATATGAGTTTATCATTGTTAAAGTGCAAATTTCGATTTAGCCAGAAAAGCATTTGCACTCTCCCCCTAAGAATTCATACTGTTTGGTATTTCAGGAGAAAAGACTCCAGTGCTTGAACTTCAAAGGAATAAAGGAGCGGGAGTGGATCATGGAGTCGCTAATTCGTTACATCAAGGTGATAGGAGGGCCACCTGGTAGAGAGGGCTTGCTGGTGGGACTGAAGAATGGACAGGTAACCCATATTAAATATATACATATTTAAAAAAAAATCTAATTCAGGCTTTATAATTATCTTGAGTACTAGCAAATGCTTCCTATTTTTGTTCTTATTATTAAGACATTCTTTTTGTTAACTCTTCATAATACCAATGTAATATGCTAACACATTTTGAAATCAGAAATCAAGCCCTGACTGCCCTTGAAATTGTAAATTTATGTACTTGATCACTTCTGCAGTTTTGTATTTGTTCACAACAAAGCTTTTTCAGCAAATAATAATAAAGTTGATAATGATAAGAATAAAAATGGGATTTTTCATATTATTCCAGATTATGGGGAAAAAATAACATTTTGATAAATACCATTACAAAAAATACACCCGATTTTCCTTATACCCCTCAGATTATGAAGATATTTGTGGACAATCCATTCCCCATAGTTCTGCTGAAGCAGGCCACCTCCGTGCGCTGTCTGGACATGAGTGCGAGCCGCACCAAGCTGGCCGTGGTGGACGAACACAGCACCTGTCTGGTGTACGATGTCAACACCAAGGAACTGCTGTTTCAGGTATGTATTGTAACAGTCTGGGGCAAAAGTCTGGGGTGTTAGTGTAACTATAGAGAAGAGGAGTGAATTTCATTGGTGGGTGGGGATGGTGTGTGTGTGTGTGTGTGTGTGTGTGTGTGTGTGTGTGTGTGTGTGTGTGTGTGTGTGTGTGTGTGT